AAGTGGTCGTTTTTCTGTTCAGAGAGTTGTTGCTATTCTTTTCTTCGATCTCCTGTTGAGTTTGTAGGTGTTCAGAATGGTTTGATCCCTATCCACCTGAATTCCTGAGAGGAGAGGAAATCCAGGTCTCCTACTCCTCCGCCATCTTGCTCCGCCCCCCTATTCCTAGGGATTTTATTATGTTGGGTGCAACTGTGAATGAGTTTTTTCAAAAAATTTGTCTTTCGGGGCGCCTGGGTGGCTCAGTCTTTAAGCATCTGCCTTCTGCTCTGGTCATGATCCCAGGTTCCTAGCATCGAGCCCCAAATCGGGCTCCCTGCTCCTTGGGAAGCCTGCTTCTCCCTCTCCCACTCCCCCTGCTTGTGTTCCTTCTCTCGCTGTGTCTCTCTGTCAAATAAATAATTAAAATCTTAAAAAAAAATTTTTCTATTTCATTATTCGTGTATAAGATACAATGGATTTCTATATATTAATTTTGTGTCCTGTGACTTTACTGAATTCATTTATCAGTTCTAGTAGTTTTTTGGTGGAGTCTTTAGGGTTTTCTGTGTATAATATCATCATCTGCAAACAGTAATAGTTTTACTTTTCTTTACCAATGTGGATGTCTTTTATTTCTTTTTCTTGTCTGATTGCTGTGGTTAGGATTTCCAGTATCATGTTGAATAAAAGTGGTTAGAGTGGACATCCTTGTCTTGTTCCTGATCTTAGAAGAAAAGCTTTCAGGTTTTCATCATTGAGTATGATGTTAGTTGTGGGTTTTTCCATATATGGTCTTTATTTTTTTGAGCAGGGGAGGGGCAGAGGGGGAGAGAGAGAGAATCCCAGGCAGGTTCCATACTGAGCACAGAGCCCAATGCAGGGCTTGATCTCAAGACCCTGAGATCATGACCTGCGCCAAAATCAAGAGTCAGATGCTTAACCCACTGAGCAACCCAGGCACCCCCATATGGTCTTTATTGTGTGGAGGTGTGTTTTCTTTAAATCTACTTTGTTGAGTGTTTTTTTTTTATTATTATCAGTAGATGTTATATTTGATATCAAGTGCTTTTTCTGCATCTATGGAAATGATTGCATGGTGTATATCTTCCTTTTTCTTGTTAATGTGATATAGCGTATTGATGTATGAGTATTGAACCATCCTTGAATCCTTGAATCTCTGGAATAACTCCTATTTGATCATGGTGAATGATTTTTTAAATGTATTGTTGGGTTTGGTGTGCTAATATTTTGTTGGGGATATTTGCATCTATCTTCACCAGAGATATTGGCCTGTAGTTTTATTTTTTGGTAGTGGTTTTAATCTGCTTTTGGTATCAGGGTAATGCTGGCCTCTGGGAATAAATTTGGGAGCTTTCCTTCCTCTTCTAGTTTTTTGGAATAGTTTGAGAAGAATAGGTGTTAACTTTTTAAGTATGGGGGTTGGGGGGAGTGCAGAGGGAGAGGGAGAGAGAGAATCTTAAGAAGACTCCACACCCATCACAGAGCCTGACTTGGGCCTTGATCTCACAACCCTGAGATGATGATCTGAGCCAATATCAGGGGTCAGACACTAAACTTACTGAGCCACCCAGGCATCCCTAGTGATTCAGTTTCATTGCTAGCAATCAGTCTATTTTATAACTTTCTATGAATGGTACTGTATGTATTCTTCTGAAGCCTGGTGGCTTTTTGTTTTGTTTTTTGTTTGTTTGTTTTTGGCTCAGCAATATATTTGTGACTGTCCTGCTCTGTTTCTTTGACTCTCACTTGTGTCTGGCACTCCAGTATATGAACATCCACAGTTTATCAGTCCGTTCTGTGGACTCTTTCTTTCCCCCTAATTAAGTTGACCTTTCATTATTTATTTTTGATAGTCTTCTTGAGATGTAATTTATATGCCATAAAATTCACCTGTTTAAAGTGTGTAATTCAGTGACTTGTATACAGATTGTCACCATTACCTAATTTTAGAAAACTTTTATCACTCCCAAAAGAAATGTTGCACTCATTTGCATTCATTTCCTATCACCCTCCCTCCCCACCCCCCGAATTGAAACTCATCTATTTCTGTCTCTATAGATTTATCTATTCTGGATTTTTTCATATAAATGGGATCTTCTGTGGTCTTTTGTCATTGACTTTCACTTAAAATATTTTTGAGGCTCATCCATGATGTATATGATGACTTTTAAGTTCACAATTTTTTGCTGTTGCAAATGATGCTTTGTATGCTTTATGCGTGTTAGGGAACTTTTTTTTTTAAATAACATTTACTAACAGTAAAAATCTGATCTCATATTCTAATCATTCAGTGAAGCTCTGGAAGAAAAAACAAAGGTAATATTTATTACAAAAATACAGTTGAGGCGTGCCTGGGTAGCTAGTCAATTAATTGTCTGCCTTCAGCTCAGGTCATGATCCAGAGTCCTGGGATCGAGCCCCATGTCAGGCTCCCTGCTCAGCGGGCAGTCTGTTTCTCCCTCTCCCTCTGCCCACTTGTGTTCTCTTTCTCAAATAAATAAATGCAGAAGGAGGAGCAGTTAGTTTTCTGAGAGGTGTGTATGAAGAGTTATAAAATGAGTGACTCCATCTCAGTCTAGACTGTGGAAAATTAGTAAGGTTTCAGGAAGTGGGTGTGGTCAGGAATGCAGGAGAAACAGTGTATAGAGGCACTGGGAGATGGAAGAGGGTTTTTTAGGAACTTAGAAGAGATAGGGTTGGCTGGAATGATACTGTGGCAGGACAGAAGGCTAGTAAGTGTTGATCTTTGAGGTGAGTGTTGTTACCTCATGGCATGGTCATGGCAGTGGGGCCAAGAGGAAATGAAGTTGAGAGACCTTTTTCAGGTTGGATTGTTGGATCAGGTTGGATTGTTGGATCAGGTTGGATTGTTGGATCAGGTTGAGGTTGGATTGTTGATTGATAATGGGGGGGGGTTGGGGAAGAAATCTGAGATGACTCCCGTGGTTTCTCACTTGAACAACTGAACGATTTGAGCATTTGATAAATATCCCTCACATAGCTGAGATTAACTTGTGTTGGAAGCTATCCGCTTTCCACAGATAAAATATCTGCATTAGTTTGCTTTAAGGAGTAAAATCATTTCTTATCTTACAACTTAAAGATGACTTTAAGTGTTTTATTTCCAATTCAGAAGTGAAACGGGTTCATACTGAGCCTAGGATGTGTTAATTTTAGATTTGAACAATTAAACTATTATTGTCACTTTCTCATAGCCAAAAGAATGCAATGGTGTAAAAGTTCCTGTTGATGCCAGTAAACCAAATCCAAATGATGTGGAGTTTGATAATCTGTATTTGGATATGAATGGAATCATCCATCCTTGTACTCATCCCGAAGACAAGTACGTAACCCATTTTTGTCACTGTCATGATAGCAGAAGTTACAGGGGAGTATTGTATTTTATTACGTTGTTTGTTTGTCCTTGTAGACCAGCACCAAAAAATGAGGATGAAATGATGGTTGCAATTTTTGAGTACATTGACAGACTTTTCAATATTGTAAGACCAAGACGACTTCTCTACATGGCAATAGATGGAGTGGTAAGTGCTAAAAAAGTTAACTTAGAATCCTGTCTTTGTTTTTGCTGTGTTCTGAGTGTCTAGAGTGAAAGTCAGCTAAATAACGAAAAATGTTGACTGTGGTGAACTTCAGACAGGCAGCCTGATCCTTCAGTCATTCATTCAGACATTTCTTGTACCTGTTTGTGCCAGATACTGTGAGCTACTGGGGATAATGGTGACTGCCCTTTCTTTGAAGGGCTTACCACTAATGGGACAGATAAATGAGCAAGGTAGTTAATTGTGGGCTTTATAGGTACTAGATAACACGTGCAGGGTGTGAGGGAAGAGGAAATCAGTGCTAGTAAGGGAGTTGGGAGATAGGAGGTGACTTTTGTCTCATTTCTTGAAGCATGAAGAGTAACAGGAGATTGGTGGGCAGTGGAGGGGGATCAGTGGAATAGATAGGAAGAGGGAAGACCTTCTGGATTTCTCAAATGGGCCCAGTAGATACACTTCCCATGCCTTTGACCACACTAACACATTTGGGCAATTACAGGTGTTTTAGATTGGAAAGGGAGCAATGTCTTGAGAAGGCCTTATTGCCATGCTTAAGAGTTTGGATTTTCTCCTATGGGCAGTGAGTAGTCCTCACAATGCTTTAAGAGGGCAATAACTTACTGACCTAGGATGATAGGTCAGCTCTCAGCTAGCTTAGCTTATAAATAACCAGCAAACTGTATATCAGCATTCAAGGAAAATTAAGATAAATCGTAACTCTAAAATTTATTTAGCTGTATAGAGATAGATTATCTTTCTTTTAGATTTAGTAATCCCTAATGGCTAATGGAATGATTTTGAAGGTCTAGAAAACTTTGGGTCCAAGAAGATTAACTTTTCCGTGAGGTTCTCTTTATGCAATGAAAAATCTTAGCTACTTGATAACTTGGTACACTTGATCTTAGCCAAAAGGCCGAGAAGCGATACTTGATAACTTGGTAAGTTGCAGTTAAAGTGCAGTGACGAGTAGAGGGAACAGGAATATCTTATTTGGAGCATATTCCAATTCATATTAGTGAAAGTTCTTGAAGAAAATCTGTCACTTTACATTCATTGTGCCCTTACTGCTAGAACAAGTATAAACTGTATGCATACCTGTGTGAGTGTCTGTCTGTCTGTCTGTATGCTCAGGTGTGTAACATGTTTTTGTTGAAATATAAATGTGGATCAAAGAACTTGGTACTTGAAAGAGTTAGGCTAGGTGGTCTTATTTTACAGGAAAGGAAACTATTTACAAGAGAATTTAAAATAACTTATTTTATGTAGACAGGATACTTGAGTCCCTTCCAACTCCAAAACTCAGTTCAGGAGTTTCAGAACCTGAGAGTCCAGTTCATTTCATTCAAGCTTATCCAGTGATTTTAAATTATATTTGGTCAGAGTAATTCAAAAGTATTTTCAGTTAAAACCTTGTTCCCTTTTTACCTGCTTTGCTTTCTTGTAGAGACAGAGTGGTTATTGTGGGAAATACAATATAGAAGTGCCTTGAGGTCCTACAGATTAAGTAGTTTTCTTTTGCTTTTATGGGGCATGGTGAATCTCATTTGGAGACCATCCTTCCTTTTAGGCATGGACATAAGGTCTTCCTGATCCTGGTTCTATACTAGTAACTATTCATTGCATGCTGGCTGGGTCTTTGAGTAAAGTGAGCTGTCCTTCTTGGGTGCCTTGAAGCACCATAGCCCAGTAGAAGTGGCATTGGGTTGTGGGCTCTGCAGTATTAAGTGGCTTCTTAGGGTGTTTGTCCATTTGATATGTCACTCACTTACCTGACTGAGGTCAGCTTTTAAGTTCTTGATCCAAATTTAAGTTCTCAGGATTTACTATCCGTCATGAAAGGATTATTAGATATACTACTTTTCCATTTTAGTGTACTATTTTTATAAGAACTGATTGAAAATAATGTACAGATTTCGTTACACGTATTTTAAATAGTATTATATGTCTATGAAATAATGTTTTTAGGCACCACGTGCTAAAATGAACCAGCAGCGTTCCAGAAGGTTCAGAGCATCAAAAGAAGGAATGGAAGCAGCAGTGGAGAAGCAGCGAGTCAGGGAAGAAATATTGGCAAAAGGTAAAGAATGTGCATCTTGAACTTGGACTTCTTATGAAATGTATATAGAATGGGGGGAGAGGTGTCAACTTTCGCTCATAGTAGGTATAGTTTTAATTTAATTAGGATCTAGAATATCTGAGGAAAATTTATGTTCACTGTCAAAAAGTAGTTAATGGAATCCTTCATTCCCACTAACAAGCTTGTTTCTTTTCCCAACTCTGTAGTAAAAGGGAAACTTAGGAATAAAAGGAGGAAACTCTGGTAGGGAGAGCAGATTGTCAGCCCCTTTCAAGGCAAGCACAGCTCTTAAGCTAATTTGTTGTATCTGTAAAGGAGAAATACATTAAGAGTGCCTCTTATTTTTGTTTTCTATGGGGGCTGTTAGAAAGCTACAGTTCTGTAAACATTTTCCTTAAATCAGTCTGGGTAGCTTGCTTATTACTTCCCCTCAGAACTCAGAGGTCTGTAAGAGGAAGCCCGGGATGATGTGCTCCGTATTTACAGGCTTTCACTGAGTCAGACACACTTCAGTGGAGGTGGATGCAACAGGCACTGAGGCGGTGAAATACCCAAGGGTTCCCTTGATTTGGGGGAGGGGTGGGGTGTGATCATCTTGGCAGTTCCCCAGAGCTTGAAATTCCTGTTGGATACACAGGTAGAAGTTGATGAAGTCTCAGAGGGGAGGAAGGTCAGGGAGTCTCGATACTCCATGGGACCAGTTCTCTGCCAAGACACCTGTCTGTGAGATGGGGTGTGGTTGTAGCAGGGTGATTTGTTTGGTGTTTTGTTACAGAGGCAGTATGGTAGACCAGGAAGGCCACAATTTATTGGCTCAAGATACTGTACTTCGCAGGTAAAAGAGGATACCATAGTGTAGTCAGCTCAGGCCTATAATTAGGATACATTTTCTGTTTTAATTTGCTGGAAGTGTGCAACTATATAGTTACTTTAGCTGCAGCTTGTAATATGCTTAAAACCTGTTTGTACTTATAAAAGATAGTCTTTGATTTTAAAGATGTCTTCTTTCTTGAAGATGTTTTGAAATATATTTGTCATTTAAAAAAAGTTAATCAGGG